TGTCAGTTACACATCTACGATCTTGAGGATTCCAACTAGTAGAGCAATATTCCAACACGCTGCGGACATACGAAAAATAAGTGCTTTAATGCAACTTAAATCATTGAAAGGTTTGGTGACACGCATGGTGAATCCAAGATTTTTGTAGGCTTTTATGGTTAATAGTAATGTGTTTTGTAAAAGTTAGTTTGCTATCTAAAGTTATTCTCAGTCTTTAACACTGTTTGCTTTTGTTATGGGATGACTGTCAATGTAGTAAGAATACTGTATAGGTTTTATTTTACGGGTAAACGTGATTGTTACACATTTTTCAATATTAGCTGTTATGCGGTTATTTTTATAGTATAGATCAAGTTTATTTAAGTCGTCTTGGAGGAGCTGATAGTCCCTCTCTGAGTTTATATTCATATATATTTTCTTGTCGTCTGCATATAGAAGAAAATTAGAGTGTTGTAAACATGTTCCTATATCATACAGGTATGCTATATACAGGAGAGGACCAAGCAGAGATCCCTGTGGAACACCCAAAAGGACGTTTATGTAATCATATCTGAAACCACCTATACATTTATTACAGCTTGGTTGCGGTTAAAAATATAAGCTTGCAACCATCTTAGCAAATCACCACAAATCCCAAGCGCTTGTAGTTTTTGGAGCAGGATGACATGATCCACACGGTCGAATGCTTTTTCGAAGTCCGTATAGATCACATCAAGAGGTTTGCACCTCCGTCCATCCCACGTAGGACGTCGAAATAGATTGGTATTTGTCGAGCGACCTTTAACGAAGCCGTGTTGTTCGGGTGGAATGAAAGGTATTAATAGTGGATATATGTTATTACCTATATACTATTTTCTCTAAAACTTTACTAAATGTATTTAATATTGAGATTGGTCTTCGATTTTTTCGATTTTGTTTCTCTGTCCTTTTTTGTGTATAGGTATTATATGTGCTTGCATCCATAGTATTGGGAAGCTTCCTTCTTTTAAAGATCTATTAAATAAAATACGTAGAGGTACACAGAGAGCCGCTGCGCTATTGACTATAAATACTGGTGGTATGTTGTCTGAGCCAGGTCCTTTAGTCACGTCTAAACATTTAAGGTGTTTGTGCACTAACTCCTTTGTTACTTGAATGTCACTTATGATATTAGTAGATGATGGAAGTTTTGGTGATATTAGAGTATATTGGGGCAGGCTCATTGAACATTTTTTTAATCAGCATGCTGTACGTCCCGTACTGAAGATTTTTGTTGTCATATTGCATATATTTAGGATAGCCGGAATTTCTGTGACGTTTATTTTTAATATAAGACCAAACAGCTTTGGGATTTGATTTAATAATGTTTTCAGATTTTTTTATGTATGCCTTATGACGTTCCTTCGCTAGTTTTTTTTTGTTCTGGTACGCAGAAGTGCAAAAGCATCATAGTCAATTGGATTATGATGAAGCTTCCAAAAAGTGTGAAGTTTATTTTTTTCCTTTATGATGTTGATGAGAGCTTTATTATACCAAACAGGATACTGCCGCTTTGGTCTTTGGAAGACACATGGGACGTATTTATTAATAAGGTCATATATTAGACTGTAGAAACACGATACAGCGCCCTCAAGTGACCCTACACTAAGTGTATCCTGCCAGTTTGTCTCCTCTAGATGCTTACAGATTTTCGCATAATCTGCCTTATTATGTAAGTATTTAAAATGTCCTTTGTATGACATGCGAGGTGTCATGATGTCTGCGGCGTCAATTGTGAGAGTGGGATGAAAAACGTCTCCTTGTACAAATGGCGTAATTGATTTAGTAACTTCTACATTAAGTTGGTAAATATGAGATCAAGAATATTATTGTATTTGCATGAAGTTATGTTGGTGAAGACCAAGGATATTAATCTGATGTAAGTTTTCTGCAGTTCTGCAAGTCGGTACTACTCTTTTTTATTGGTGTATTTATTAGTGTAACCATTAGGTGTCCATTGAACATAAGGAAGATTGAAATCGTCACATATCAAAAACAAATCTTCTGACTTTGAGAACATAACGGAAAACAGCAAATCAGTGAAACTTTGTAAGCTTTGGGGCAACATATTGTCTGGAGGAAAATAAATTGCGTAAATATGTAAATTATGACTAATGCTCCTATCGTAATCCAGAGACATTCAAGGTTGTCATGTGGGCATTTTCATGGGGGGTTTCAATCGGGCCGATACTTTGCAGAAAACCGTCCCGCAGTCAAACCATGATGCCGCCACCACGTCCATTCCCGCCGCGATCCCGGCGAAAGATATTGTACCTACAGTACGTTCGGCGTCAAGAATACCGTCGTGCAACCACGATTCTGTAATTATTATTATGTCACTATTACGGTTCAAGATGTTAGTGTAGAACTCCTGTTTTTGTTCTTAGACCCCTTACATTTTGGTATAGCAGATTCAAAGTATTTCGTTTAATTTTATTGTATGTTAATTTTAAACTTAAGACATTTAAGTAGTATATACTGTTTTGTTATAAAATAATAGTAAGTAAACATATATAAGGTGTGCTTATTAGAGTCGCAACTAGTGAATAATTGTATATTTGTCAGTGATGCATATAATATGTTTTGACATGATTTAATGAACAAAGTGTGTGTATTGTTTATGTGTATCGGTATATATATTATGTGTGCGTTTAGACGCAGATAAAGTTTCGAAAATAATTCTTTGAGTTTTAATTTTAGTTATAATTTTAGTTCATTACAAGAATACAAAACGCTAAATAACCAAAAGATAATAAATGATAAAAATCCAAATAGTTGGCTTAATAAGCTAAATGAGACTAAACTATTTTTTCAAATCTTAAGCGGTGCAGTGGAGATTAACAGTGGAGGTTAACTGTCGTTGCGTCATATGTAAATTCGACATTTTTTGTCCATACGTAACGATAAGCAGATACTTTGGCTTTTGTTTTTGCTTCAAGAAGAAGTTTTTTGTTACGAGGTGTTAGGTGTTCGTTCACATAGATGACTTTGGGGTCGCCAGTGGACAATAAAACTTTTGATGATAACTCCCTACATTTTCGCACGGCAGACAAAAACGTGTCTTTATTGAGCCGCGATTTGAAACGTGCGATGATAGGGCGCGGTTGCTTGTTGGATGAACGCCGTGGTTTCACTCTGTGAATGAAGTCTACATCAGTTTCAAATAATTTTTGGCCGGCTTTCTGCTATTTTTATAAGAACGTCCATGAGACATTCGTTGCTTTTTTCTGGTTTCCACAATTTGCTGATGGGCCCACTGTTCTTGCTTAGCAAAATCATGCTCCATTATCGAGATCTTTTTCTCCACATCCTTTAGATGGCACTTTTAAAGTTGCGCTCAATATGTTCAAGAAGTAGCTATATACCATACATGGAAATATTTTTACGGACAATAAAAAAATACTTCCGTTATGCTTTTGTTTGTGAACTAATAAAGATAAACGCACATATGACACAATGTTTGAATTATTATTAATTGAATATGGCAAAGAACACGGTATTAACCTTGCACCAAAAGTTTGTGTGTTAGATTTCGAAACGGCTGCTATACTTAGTCTTCGATCAAATTTTGAAGAAATTCATTTACAAGGATGCCATTTTCATTTGGGACAAATTATATACAGGTTGTTATTATTACTGAAATATTTTTTCTCCATAATTATTTCTCTAATGTAGCATATATTCAAGTGCCCGGTGTAGTGAAACAAAAGCGATTTGTTTCTGGTACTTCACCGGCCTCTGCCGCGGCACGCTCGCTCGGCTCGTGCATTGTTGGTCGATGTTCTAACCTAACCTAACCAATTCCTTTCGATTTCACCTAAACTTCGTTCCACACAAATTTTGCAAATGTGTATGTGGATTTCTATTGCTATACTTATTACAATTTATTTATTTATTTCAGACAAGTTCAAGACCAGGGTTTTGCCAAAAGATATGCAAGCGACATAGAGTTTAATAAAGAGGTGAAGTGTTTGTTATCACTCAGTTTTCTTAAGGAATCTGAATTATACGTATATTTCAACAGAATCGTAAAAAGTTTTAAAGATCCAGATGAGCACAATAGCTCATGGTTCAAAATAATTATGTATACATCAACCACAACCTAATTATCAGCCTAGATTTTGGAGCTGCTATGAAACAAACAAAATGAATATCACGAACACAGAACTCGGCCGAAGCCTGGCATAACAAAATAAACAATATTATTGATATAAGTCACACAGGTGTTTAAAAATTGATAAAACAATTAGTAAAGGAAACCATTGCCAACGAGGAGGAAATAGAAAATATATTAACAGGTGGCCCACCAGAACCCAAGAAAAAAAGAACTTGGACAAAGAAGAAAGAATCAACAGAATTCTTGAACACAAACCTTCATATTCAGAGGAAAAATGATTGATGTGCATTGCTGCGAATTTAATGTGTTAAGGTTTTTTTGTAATTCTTAAATAAAAATTGCATATAAAAATTAGTTTATTTTTTATATAAATGTACGAAAAGGGAACTGTTACACGGACAAAACGTTATTCGTCTAAAAGTTGTCCGGTCTAGTGAAGGATTTGACAAATGATGTGCCCTGAACTTGTTGTGTCATTATAATAATCAGCTTAACAATATATAAGTATGTATGTAATTACTCTAAGAATTCTACCAAAAGAAACATTGTGATACAAAAATTTGACAATTGTTAGTTGTCAAAGTGAAAAATAGGCGAACTGTTAGTTGGCAAGTGATTATCGGCCAAACAATTTTCGATGAGAATGCAGGATCCCGACTTTAGCACATTCGCTAGTAAGCAAGATTTTTTATTATTCACAAACAACTCCTGACATGATAAGTATTTATTATTAAATTTTTATCACAATTAAGTTTTTTGTATAAATACACTCAGTGTATTATATTCAGACGTGATTGTGAGTAGAAAGGCACATTTTTTAAACATAAAATGAATTAATATTAAAAGAAACTTAAAAATTACTAATTTAACTATCTTCCTCCTCAATTTTCGGTGCCAAATAGTAGCGGATGTGACCAATATCTGGAATGCGATATTCCACTACTAATGGTACATCAGCAGACATCGAAAGCTGGACCTGAAACAATGAAGCACATGAAATAAGGATATTGTATAGATTTGCATGAGTTTAATTCTAGAAGCAAGTGCAGCTTAATAGTTCGAGTAAGAGTGCGTAACTTGATGTTTTAGGTAGGTACGATACCACCTATGGAGTGAAAGAAACTAGGGATGAGCGGAATATTCGTTTTATATTCGGTATTCGGCAGTTTTACCGAATATTCGGCTAAATCACCGAACATACGTTAAAGTGGTACTCTAAGTGTTCACTAAATTGAAATGTACGAATTGAACAGTGCCATGCCTTTTATAATTTACTGTTCAAAGTATATATTATTTATAGGTTAAATCTACTTGTATAGCGTTATGTTTTAGAGGCACTGTCAATTTATTTCCAATCATAGCAAATAGAAAGCTTGATAAAATGTTTTTGGAATCAAACAAAGAAACATTACATTACATTAGTACATTTCACTTTACTTTGGTCGTCAGTTTCTCTAAAATAAGTCCAAATAGTAGATCTGCCACTCATTTTTATCATATAATTATAAATTTTCACTGAGAATAACACAACAAAATACTTTTTTCTCACAAAAATATTCAAAACATAAGCATGTGCCGGCAATTTGCTCAGTACTAGATGATGCAATAACATGTCAGGTATGGCGGGGGTGTGAGGGGCAGGGTTCGGCGCTAACCCCGCGCGCTTTACAGTAACAAGTTTCGACATAAATTGGTTAGGTACCGCGGTGATCTTGCCGCATAATGTTCGGCCGAATATTCGTATTCGATGAAATGCATGTTAGGCCCATCTCTAAAAGAAACATGTTCAAATGAAGCTACAAAATTAATATATACACTACATTATAAGATCAAAATTATGTTAATTGGTACATTACTTATCAACATTCATTATTCATTATTACTACATTACTACACCTATTCAAATTTCACTGCTGAACATACAACACCTCTCCATAGATTTTCTTTTATATAGAATTCGGGTGATAAATAAACACACAGTGCATCTGATGGTAAGTGCACGCTGTGGCCTATAGATATCCACATTTTTCCTCGATTATGACTCAAAATGCAGATGCGTTGACACCCCTGAGGACTAAGACAGAAAGCCTTGTCTCCAGTAAAAAGGGATTCGCTCAGAGGGGGCGATATTATGACATAAGTGGATAGTATGACATAGTGGATTCTCTTCCGCCGCCATTATACAAAGTGCATATTTAGAGATATACCTACAATGTGGGTTTGTAACTTGGTGAGTGTAGAAATGATGCTCTGGCTTTGATAATGCAACTCTCCAAGAAAATTTATATATTTCCACCTTACACTTTAACAAAATAATGATGGTGTAGCTTTTACCCTATTTTGAAATTGTAACCAAAAATTAACCCATCAGCCCCTAAGCGGTCGAATTCGACTGCGGCGCTATTCCGTCAAAATTCAAGCGGTCGAATGCGACCGCGCACACCCACAGCACTTTAAACCATTAAAACTTATATTTAGAGACTACTTTTCTAAGAAGAAGTTTGGCATTATAGAATCATATGAAATTTTCTATACTCTAGTGCAATAAAAAATAGTTATGCTATGGATATTTATTTATAATCTACGTTCATTTTGTAGGCCATTTTCGCGTGAATGTTATTGTGTATGATTTTTGGTTTTTTTCTAGTGTTTTATTAGTGTTTATGTATAGTGTTTTATTATAAAATTGTAATGAAAGTTTTTGTGTGAATATAATTTATCTTTATCAAATTTCGAGTAATATACATATATTGAAATAATTGTGATTTTCACGCTGCCGACATTCGCTTGGTATGTTTTATTTTTGTTATCAAAATTATATACTTAGTCTTTTTGTAATGAGCTAAAACTGGACTTTTATATAGAGAATTTTGTATAGATTTTATAACGCCAAGCTTCTTCATAGAAAAGTAGTCTCCAAATATAAGTTTTAATGGTTTTAAGTGCTGCGGGTGGGTGCCGTCGCATGCGACCGCTCGGGATTTGCCGGGCGCATGCGACTACACGAGAATTTTAAGGGGACTGAGGGGTTAACTAAATAGTCACTATTATGATTAACAAACATGATATTTGCAGCATATCATCTGTTGAGAATTTCTTACAACCCATATGTGTAAGACTTGTTTAGAACTAGAACAAACTATCATTTTTGTTCCACAATTTTTTCTCGTAACTTGGATAATAAATAAAGTGAAGTTACAGCCATTTGTAATTATTAGAGATGGAACACAGACCGAATATTCGTTAGAGTGGTACTTAAAGTATCCACTGTACGAATTGAGTAATGCCATGTCTTTCATAATTTTACTCTTGACATTTATTTATTGGTTAAATCTACATGTATAACGTTATGTTTTTGAGGCATTGTAGATTTATTTCCAATTATAGCAAATAGAAAGCTTGATAAAATTTTGTTTGGAATCAAACAAAGAAACATTACATTACAGTCGTCAGTTTCTCTAAAATAGGTCCAAGTAGTAGATCTCCTGCCACTCATTTTCATCATATACTTATCAATTTCCATTAAGAATAACACAACATGTGCCGGCAATTTGACAGTATTAGATGATGCAATAACATGTCAGGTGTAGCGGGGGAGCGAGGGAAAGAGTCCGGCGCTAATCTCACGCGGTTTACGGTAACAAATTTCGACATAAATTGGGCAGGTACCGAGGTAATCCTGCCGAATAATGTTCGGCCGAATTTACAGAATTTTCGGCCGAATATTCGTATTCGGTGAAATTCATATTCGGCCCATCCCTAGTAATTATAATTATGGATATCTCCGTACCTGGTTACTTAGTGAGGTCGCTTTTGTGAAGTAATTGAGATACTGGCAGGCAAATGTAAGGGTGACAGGTTCGTCCATTTCAATAACGACTGCCTCCTCTTCCTTGTCAATTGATGCAGTTTGTGCCAGTGCAATATTTGCTGTACTAATGTCACCCGACGCCGAGAATTTTACACCTGTGTATATAAAAATTGCCAATCAATTTTTATAAATACAAAGGTGGGAAACAGTGACTAAGAGCTATGAAATCAAATTTACTTACCTTCTTTTGTACAAGAAATAACCATTGACTCTCCAAACTGAGACAGATCACGGCAGATTCTGGCAAATTCAGCGCTTGGCATGCGGATTGTACAACTGTATTCAGTCTCTGGAATGCCTATGAGGAAGAAAAACACAAATATATAATAAATAATTAACTAAACAGTATTTTGGTAAAATAACTTTCATTACAGACTAACAAAGTCAACTGTTCAACATGGGCTTCCCAATAGATTGCTTTATAAATTGCCATATTTGATGCACTTGGCACTTGGCAGGCAAGTTGACAACCATAGTTTTTTCTTCTCGAATAATTGCATGGACATGGAGTTGCAGAAATATGCACTTAGACATGGAGTTGCAGAAAACAGCCTGTCTTTATCTTATCTTAACAACAAGTAGTATAATTTTGTCTTTTTTTAAATAGTTTATTCATTTCATTATTAGAGCTTCCTGGAACCTAAATCATTCATTTAATAAACAAGAATATTTTAAAGTAACAACATTCCCAAAAAGTGTAGGCGTAAAAAAAAATGTTAAGATATGTATTGCCTTAGCCATTAGAAATAAAATCTCATAACTGCAATAAAATCAAAACATACCCAAGTGTTCAAGATCCAAATTCATGAGTTTCATTTCATAATCTGATACTTTTTCTTGATTAGGACTTTCAAACACAAAGGTGACTGTGTCCGCATTGTCCTGTGCCTTCATTGTCACCGTGTCCTTATCACCAGCACATTTGAGAATCTTTGACATACTGAAATATGACATTAAGGCGACTTTCCTAAGTGGCATATCTTGTTTCTTCATCAAGCAGCGATACACTAATGCATTGTTGTGTTATAGTTTAATTATATCAACCTCATATTTAGAGCCAACCTTGAGTTGAAATTCAAACTTTATTTAAATTTTATTTTTTATTGAATTTATTTAACTTTTATAATTCCCGACTTTTCGAGATGTAAATTCATAATTAAAAAAGTTAAATTAGGCATGATAAAGAATGAAATTGGTAAATTTTGTTTAATTCAATTCAGGTAAAATATAAGAAATCAATGTAATGATCTATACTTAATTTTTTAAATTAAGAGCTTTGGTTTAAACTTGTGATCTGTGAAGATCTGTCTTCAGGGATGATCTTCTTTAAAGATGTTTGGAGATATTCAAGGACCAGCCTCTTTTAAAGTAACAAATTGCAAACATAAACTGCCAGATTGCTATCATTGTTTTATTATCTTTTATACTATAAAGCAGTTTACGTAACAAAAACATGTAAATTTGTAACTCAGTTTAGGAAGTCCATTTACCTATTACAAGTCACCCAATGAAACAATAAATTTAGTAGGCATATGTGACCTTGTCACTTCGCAGGGTCACAGGCTAGGGTGGATATGATTTGAATTTTGATAGAGTAATTAATAAAATTATTTATTTATTGTTTTATTCAAATTTTTTGTAAGATATCTGTTTTTTTTAATAGGATAGGGTGACAAACGAACACACAGCCCACCTGATGGTAAGTGGTCGTTGCGGCCCATAGATATCTACATCTATCCTCAATTACAAATCAAAATGCAGATGCATTGTCACCCTTGCGGACTAAGATGGAATGCCTCATTCCCAGTAAAAAGGGTCTCCGCTTCTCTCACTCACCATAGGAAAAACAGTAGAATTAAGCTGTTATTTTACGCTAGTATTCTCTGAGAACATGTTTATTTCCCGGTAGAACCTACCCATTCGTGCTACAACTATACTACTAATATAACTGCAGCATGGCTCTACCACATATAAAAATATAGGCTTTCTTTTGCTGTTCACATGTTATACCCTATTTTATTTCCAGACAGTAAAAAAGGTCATCCAGTATAAATGTAACATCCAAATACCTTGTCTTAGCTTTTTATAGGTTAATGGACTTCCTGAATGGTGAATTGCAATTTTAAATATACAGTATGTGTTATAACACAGAGATAATATATCCATTGACCACTATATGGCTAACCTTACCTGCTTAAGTTCATACCCAGGGAAATATTTCTATCACATCTATATTTATCAAAGCCATCTGCCCGCAAAGTAAGTGACACCAATGACACATGTGAATTGTCCATTGCCTGAAAATTATTAAAATGTATATGAAATATTATTAAAATGTAACAGTGATATAACCCATAACCACTATATGCACCCTAACCTAATTATTTTATTACACTACGAGGGCGGCACTGAAAATTTCGGGAATCAAGTAAGTGACACAACATTACTATTTAAAAATGTATTTATTGCTTTTCGAAGTATTCTCCGCGAAATTTGACACATTTTTCCATACGATGGAACCAATTATTGAAGCAACCATTCCATTCGGAAGTTGGGGTCTCCAAAATGGCCGTTTTGTAGGCGTCCACAGCTTCTTCAGGTTATGAAAATCTCTGTCCACGCAATTTATTCTTTATTTTAGGGAAAGTATAGAAATCATTAGGGCTTAGGTCGGGGCTGTATGGCGGATGGTCTAATAATTCTATGTTTTCTTGCTCTAAAAACTCTTTTGTTCAGTGTCGTGTGAGAACTCGCATTGTGGTGATGGAGGATGATGCGGCGGTTGCAGTTCTCTCTACGGAGTTCAGAAATGACCAGTGGCAAACAAATGCTAGCATACCATTCAGCATTAACCGTTCCTTGTACCTGATGAGGAATAGTCGTAACATGGCTGGTTTTGGAGACAAACATGGCCATAATTTTTTTTGCAACACTCCGTGAACGAACAATTTTTGTTGGCTTTAACTCATTTTCGAACACCCAAACTTGTGACTGGTTTTTTGTTTCGGGTTCGTACGCGTATATCCAGGATTCGTCACCTGATACAATGTTGTATACAGCATTTGAGGATCCTGCGTGGAATCTTTCAAGAGTTCTAACGCACCAAGTAACGCGAGGCGCTTTTTGCTCTTCACAGAGCGAATGCGGTATCCATCGGGAAAACAACTTTTTTACACCTAATTGTTCATGCAAGATTATTGTATTTGACTCGTGCCAATGTCTAAAGTTGCCTGAATTTCGTGGTATGTCACATGTCGATCTTCCTCAATCAGCTTACGCAGAGCATCAATGTTTTCTTGGGTGACTGCAGTTTTTGGACGACCTTGAAGGGGATCATCACTGAGCTTGACACGTCCACGTTGAAATTCAGCAATTCAGCGATAAATTGTGATTTTGGATGGGGCTTCATCACCAAATGCAGAAATCCGGTAAACACACTGTTTTTGTGTTAAACCACTTCGAAAGCCATAATAAATCATCGCTCTTGAATTTTCTTGCATCAATCCCATTTTCTCAACGACTAAACAAGTTTGACAAAACCTTGTGACAAGACCGAGAATCTTTCTTTAAATAAATAAATGGTATTCGATTTTTAAAACCAAGGAGTTTTCAATTAAAAAGATTTTAATATGACAAACAGTGGAAATATTCCATTCCCGATACTTTTAGTGCAGCCTAAGTAAAATAACACACGGACGAAATTGCTTAATTAAAATAATGTTAAAATAAAAAAGCCCACCTTACTACTATCTACACAACCTACTAGTAACCTAGTTTAGGATACTCTAAGGCTTACAATGCCTGATCAAAACTATCTGGTTTCTCTCTGGTGACAGAATGTGAATTCTGAATCGGAATTTTTGTTTTATAAAACATTCAACAATTTTTTTTCAATTTTTAAAGAAATAACCAAAGAAGGATTTTAGTTTTACCCGAGGACACCCTGAGTCAAGGTTGTTGCTGCTGGTGATAAGAGAGCTGGTTCTTTTCTCACTCAAAGGCTAAGTATAGCCATTCAGTGAGGAAATGCAACCAGCATTCTGGTTGGGCTATGGATGTCCGGTACTTGATTTTAATTATGTTTTCAGTTTAGGAGGCTAGTCAGGGTTAAGCTTGAATCTTTTACACTGTTTCGGATGTCGGAAATACGTTTCGAAATAAATTATGATAAAGATAAAAATTGCATATAACAAAACGCTGACATGACAATTTTTCCTAGTATTGAGGTTAGATATCAAAACACAGTGTAAAAAGTGTGAAAGACAACAGTGTTGATGGTCATTTAGTGGGCATCTGCCAATGTTGTACATTATTATTATTTATGATGTCAAATGTCAATTCTCATTCTGTTTCTCTAGTGGTCATATGAATGTTCTCTTTTGTTTTTGGTATTGTTTTCAGAGTTTTCTACAATGTCTGCTTTGTTTTTGGACTTTTTTAATTGCCCTTATGTTTGGTTCTGGATTTGATTTGATTGCATTACTTTGGCTTGCTTATATGCGGACCTGAGGATGAGCGATTATTATAGATAAGATAGATTGAATCTGTACTAAAACTGAATCAAAAAGCCCCAACTCCACATAGCCTTGTTTGCCCTACCCCTAGTATTTTTGTAAAGCTGTAAGCATGGAGGTAGGACAGACACAGAGCAGCATGGAGGAGGTGCCTGTAATTTGCTAGGTGGGTTTCCCCAGAACCCTCCCCCTCCTACCCCCATATACGCAAGTGCCAGATGTGTATGGTTATACTAACATTCCTGGCACAATAACACAGGGAATAGGACTGTATGATAATATGAGCTATTAGTTTTAGTTTTCTTTATTGTAGTTTTTTAACATTGTATATATTTCAATAGTATGTAAATACTAGGTTTTAAAATATTCAATTACAGTAGGTCACACCAAGAAAAACCTTTATAATCTTAAAATTTCATACAAGTACAAATAGCATTAATTACAAAGATTATGTTTACATTGTATGTTGTGAGACAGAACTGTGTTGTGTAAATATATAATAATTTCATCATTTATACTAAAAAAATACCTGCAACTGTATTCCATTGTCATCACAATCAAACGTAGCTTGTGTCAGAAGATCCTTAATTGCCTCCAAAACCTTCTTTAAAATAGAGCTACGGAGTAAGCGTGCTTCAAACATTTTTATCTGAAATCAAATTAATAACTGATTAAATTGCATTTATATTAAAAAACTAAAACGACAAACTAAGTTACAGTCCACCTGATTGAAAGTCGCTACCACAGTCCACTGGAATCTGCAGCAAACTTCAAACAAAAAGGCTACAGATAAAAGTTATAGATCTTAAAGATTAATTTGTCTATATCCGCGTAATAAAATAAAATGTGTTCTACTTAGTCTGAAGAGCACCTCTCTTCCTCCCTAAATTGCGTGCACTAATCCCCGTCACCACTAATCCCAGCACCACCACACCACCAAAGACACAACACCGTCGAAAATACAACAAGTGTTTCAGTTCTGCAAGTAGGTTCTGCGGTGGCTGACCGCTAGCTTAGGTTATTTCTAGTCGTAGACTTATTCTAGAGATTTCCGCAAAGTAACGCCTGATTCTATTAGTTACAGGTAAGCTATCTACTCAGGGGGTTAAGATGGAATGCCTTAGCCTGTAAGTATATGGTTTCTGATCGGAAGAACACAGCAGTGCAGTGTAGGCACTGCTATTTTGCAGTTGGTAACGGGCTAGTACCCAACAGACTCCTAGGTAAAAAGATTTCATAGTTCTCGAAAACGTCCTACTACATTTATTACACTAGAGACGACGCGACAAATGGAATTACGCTTATGACTTACAAGAACAAAGCTTTATAGTAAATTTATTTCAAATAGTTAATGGCTGCCGTTGATATACTTACAGTGTAATGAAAAATGAAAAGAGAAAAAAGTGCCTATGTCTTTATAACTGATTTTATGACGAAATCCAAATTGCAAACAGGAGACAAGCAACGGTAGCGTACAAGAAAACGGCGCGAAAATTGTCTGATGTAAATTAGGCATGTCAAACTAAAATCGATTAATCGAAAAATCGATTCTTTAGTATAATAGAGTAAAATAATCGATTATTTAGATCGATTCGGAGCACTGCATCGATTCACTGAATCGATCCAAAAACCTCTCGAATCGGACTGATTCTTCTGATTCAAGAACTAGCGATAAAATACCCAAACTGGCTGGGGTAATATATATAATACGCAATAATAACCGGTCGTACTTGGTTGATGATTTGAACGCAATATATATTTGAATGAAATAAATATTTATGAAAGCATCCAACAATATAGAAAAGTTGTCATTTTATTTACATTTATACAATTCTAACTCTAATCTTACCTGTGGAATGTTGGTCTAACTTAATCTGTGCTGTGAACAAAGACTACATATACATAGTACAATATAATATTATAGCTGTGAACATGTTTGAACTGTGAACTTGTGAATATTATCAAAAATATATATACTGTGAGCTGTAAGTACAGATAGAGTACTTTTTAAATACTTAGATAATGTAAATAAATATTATATTTTGAAGTTTTATAGTAAGGACGCATTCATTTCGATTTGATAAATAGTGAGCTTTTAGAGTAGAGTTGCCGTGTAGTGGTGGTTGAGAATATCCACTACCACATATCTTCCCGTGGGTGTCGTAAGAGGCGACAGAGGGACACAGAAAGGAGATGGGCAGCAGCATCTTCCTAATAACAACAATAACATAATAAAAAACTGCGGTTGCCGACCCGCTCACCAAGCGTGTCAAATATGGCAAATATCCCCCCATGAGCAACGACACAAATAAACGGCCCCCAGTCCCCGGCGGCCCCGCTATTCCTGGCTACGGTGGCGACCATGGTAACGGCGGGGCAGGGGGTGCTAAGAATCTCCGGTGGAGGTTCGGTTGCCACCTGCGACGACTCGACCTGGCAACGTATAACGCACGCACCCTGTGGACTGACGAGAAGATACTGGAGCTGGAAGAAGAGGTAGACAAGTTGCGCTGTCATATTATTGGATTATCTGAGGTCCAAAGGGAGGGGGAGGACACGGTAATCCTCGAGTCCGGCAACTTGTTCTATCACCGGGAGGGCGACCATCTGTCCCAAGGAGGTGTTGGATTTATCGTCCACAAGTCTCTCGTCAACAACGTTGTAAAAATTGGGAGTGTGTCGACGAGGGTCGCGTACCTGATACTCAGAATCACCAAACGGTATTCGCTGAAGGTCATACAGGTCTACGCACCAACCTCGGCACATCCCGATGAGGAGGTGGAGGAAATGTATGAGGATATTTCTAGAGCCATGCATTCCTCCAAAACCCTTTTTATACGTGGTAGAGCTATGCTGCAGTTATATTAGTAGTATAGTTGTAGCACGAATGGGTCGGCTCGACCGGGGAAGGACCACACTCTCACAGAATACCAGCGTGAAATAGTAGCTTGATGCTGCTGTATTTCGTATGGTGAGTGTAGAGAACCGGAGACCCTTTTTACTGGAAATGAGGCATTCCATCTTAATCCTCACGGGTGACAACGCATCTGCATTTTGATTCGTAATGGAGGATAGATGTAGATGTCTATGGGCCACAGGAACCACTTACCATCAGGTGGACTGTGTGCTCGTTTGTCACCCTATCCTATAAAAAAAAACCCACTACACGGTGTTGATGGGAGACTTCAACTCAAAACTAGGCACAAGAGAAGGCGGTGAGCTGAAGTTAGGGAATTTTGGAGTAGGGCAACGGAACCGTAGGGGCCAGCAGCTGGCTGACTTTATTGAGAAAGAGGAACTCTCTATGATGAACTCTTTCTTCCAGAAGCGGCCCCACAGGAAGTGAACCTGGTCGAGCCCCGACGGTTCGACAAAAAATGAGATTAACTTCATTATGACGACCAGACGCCAACTGTTCAGTGATGTTTCAGTGATCTCAAGGGTGAAAACCGGCAGCGATCACCGAATGGTTAGAGGCACACTGAACCTAAACGTTAAGTTGGAGAGGTCTCGTCTAATGAAGTCAACGCTCCGTCCCCCCTCGTGCTCTAATCCAGAATCCCGAGACTTTTCAGCTCGAGTTACGTAACCGCTTTCAGTGCCTAGAAGATTGCAATGCAGTGGACGATATGAATGACAAGCTCGTGGAAACTGTCCATGCGGTCGGAGCTAAGTTCTGCAAGACCCGCCGCAGAAGAACACAAAAACTCTCCGATCACACTCTTAATCTCATGTCTGTTAGACGGGAGATGAGACTACAATCGTCAACAGATTTGACAGCATACAGGCAACTGAACAGACAGATCTCCAAATGCATGCGGCAAGACTTACGCAACTTTAATACTGCTCGTATTAAAGAAGCGATCGAGCGGAACCAGGGCTCCAAAGTCTTTGCCAGAGATCTGTCTGCCAGAAAGAGCCAACTTTCAAATCTGAAGACTGAGTGTGGTAGCATCGTTTCCGGGACACCTGAGATTTTGAGTGAGATTGAGAGGTTCTATGGGCAGCTGTACACATCATCGTTGGAGCCACACGCAAGTGTGAGTAACGATACAAGAGCAAGTCTTACCCCACACTATTCCGATGATATCCCGGACGTCAGTCTGAGCGAGATTAGAATGGCTCTCCAGCACATTAAAAACGGCAGGGCCCCAGGCGAGGATGGAATTACTGCAGAGCTTCTGAGAGCTTCTGAAACCGGTACTTGAAGTCCTTCAGAAGCTCTTCAATTCCGTCCTCCATGGTGGCACTACTCCGGAGGCGTGGAGCAGAAGTGCGGTGGTCTTGTTCTTTAAGAAAGGCGACAACGCTCTCTTGAAAAACTACAGACCGATTTCCCTTCTGAGCCGCGTCTACGTGCCGTTTTCGAGAGTCATTACGAATCGTCTCGCACGCAGACTCGACGACTTCCAGCCTCCCGAACAAGCCGATTTCCGAAAAGGCTTCAGTACCATAGACCACATACATACCCTGCGGCAGATTGTACAGAAGACCGAAGAGTACAATCCACTTTGCCTGGCGTATGTGGACTATGAGAAAGCTTTTGATTCCGTCGAAATTTGGGCGGTGCTACAGTCCCTTCAGCGGTGCCAAGTTGACTGTCGGTATATCGAGGTGCTGAAGTGTTTGTACAGTAGGGCTACGATGGCTATCCGAGTAAAGAACCAGAGTTCGAAACCTATCCAACTGCAGAGAGGTGTAAGACAGGGTGACGTTATATCCCCGAAACTCTTCACCGCTGCGTTGGAAGACGTTTTCAAGCTACTGGACTGGAAAGGATACGGTATTAACATCAATGGCGAGTACATCACTCACCTTCGATTTGCCGACGATATAGTCCTTATGGCAGAATCGCTGGAGGACCTTAGCACTATGCTCAATGACCTCAATGGTGTCTCCCAACGGATAGGTCTTAAGATGAACATGGACAAAACAAAGATTATGTTCAATGTCCATGTCACACATATGCCGGTAGTTGTGGGGAGCACTATGCTCGAAGTTGTTGACGAGTACGTTTACCTGGGACAAATAGTCCGACTAGGTAAGTCCAACTTCGACCGAGAGGTCAATCGACGGATTCAACTCGACTGGGCAGCGTTCGGGAAATTACGACACATCTTCTCGTCAGGTATACCTCAATCTCTGAAAACTAAAGTGTACAACCAGTGCATGTTGCCAGTGATGACTTACGGATCAGAGACGTGGTCCTTCACTGCTGGCCGTATGAGGACGCTCAAGGTCGCTCAGCGAGCTATGGAGAGGGCTATGCTCGGAGTTTCTCTGCGTGATAGACTCAGAAATGAGGATATCCGCAGTAAAACCAGAGTTACTGACATAGCCCAACGGATTAGTAAGCTGAAGTGGCAATGGGCCGGCCATATAGCTCGAAGAACCGATAACCGATGGGGAAAAAGGTTCTCGAGTGGCAGCCTCGTACCGGTAGGCGTAGTGTAGGGCGACCCCCCACTAGATGGAGTGACGACCTGGTAAGACATGCAGGAAGTCGATGGATGCAGGTGGCTCAGGACCGTGCTTTGTGGCATTACTTGGGGGAGGCCTATGTTCAGCAGTGGACTTGTGAAGGGCTGTAATGATGATGATGATGATGAGTTTTTAGATTGAAACAGATTTATCGAGAAATGTACGTTGCAGTTTACACTTTTGTTAATGTATTGTTGTTGTTTTTAGCCTAAAATGTCAAATAAAAGTGATACATGGAATCACTTTGTAAAAAAGGGATCGAGTGGAGTATGTGCTAACCACACCTAACACAAGCGTAATTAATAAGATTACTAATATATTATTTAAAAAAAATATTAAAGTTCAATTAAAGAAAAAGTCGCAAATTCTTGAAATGTGTTTAAAAATGTCGCGATTAATCGTAAATCGATCTTTTAATCCTCGATTTAATCGATAATCGATTCTAGTATCTTCGATTCAAATCGATTCGGAGATCGATTTTTTAAAGAGTGAATCGACATGCCTAATGTAAATTGGAAAACTGTCAATGTCAAATATTTCTCTCTTTGATAATACACACGGTTGTATTTTTGCCAGTATCAAGTAATTTCATAACATACTTATGATGATTATTGATTAAGTTTATGAGTAATTTAATATTATCTGTAATTTCTGGATATCGACAGCAGCTAAATAATGTGAATCTAAGCCATCTAAATTCCATACAAAAAATTTCATCAAATCGGTCGAGCCGTTTTTGAGTTTAGCGAGACTAACAGACAGAAATTGATTTTAATTCAAAGGGATAATAGTTTTTTTTTTGAAAACTTCTTCACAATATATTTATGCGTGATATTGCAAAGTTTTTGGTAGATGCTGACATGCTAGTGACAGTTTGAGCGAACTGCTGCTCCTGTTACACTAAATATTATAATTGTTAAAATAATGGTTTGATATGGATTTTTATAACTAAAAGTGGTGCTATTTTGTGTATTAAATGCTAAAAATAAAAAAGTAACGTCACACATGATAGTGTTACGCGCTAAAATCGGCGCACTAGCGCCATCTAGTCTCGAACCGAAGAACTAAACTTCTTGAAGGTTAAAACTCGAACTCTCGGTACCTTGCGCGTGTTTACTTGAACATTCTGGATATTTTGCTAATTTATATAAGTAGGCACTGCAAGATGCGATCAGACAGAGTTGATTTGACGAAACAAGCGAAGCTTCAGAGCGGAATTAAGTGAATTAGTGTGTTTAATTATTAGTGTTTTTAACTTTAGTTTGTGTAAAGTAAATTAAAGTGTTAATTTAGGTAATTTTATCGGCAATTTTTATTGTCACGAACCCTAAGCTCGTAACAATAGGCATTTTTCTAGTAAATAAGAAGATACGAGTGTATTTATTCTCATATTTGGCAGTCTAAAGAGATCAAAGATGACAACTTGACATTTCTATTTTCACGCAAGAATTACACGTAACATCGTTCAACAGATTTGTCTCTTTTTACCTTATTTAAAAATTAAATTAGAAAAAGCGAGAGTCAAGTGTATTGACTCAATTTATGTAGAATTGTAGGTTCTTTCTATACATACAAATGTATGTAATTACTCTAAAGCTCGCCTTCATACAATATGCCATTCGGTCAAGTGACTGATCCGAGTCTGTATCCAAGCTTTGAGTAATCACCAACTGGAGAGGCCATGCGCATTAATTCCTAAACAAAAAGTCTGTCACTTTCAGGGGGAGGCGAGGAAAACACACTACTGTATACTTTATTACAAATGCAAAATTGAATTGCGTCACAATATACGCACACTACAGCATTTGTGTTTGTGCTCATTGCATTTACGCATACCATCAACATTAAATTGTACACGGGTCGACACACTGCATCGCGCGCCGTCGTCTACATGCTTAAGCAATGTAGAGTGAGGACTAAGTAAATATATTTAACGATAACCAAATCATCATAGTCCGCATAAGTTCAGCGTTGGCAAAACTGATTTTTAGTGTTTTTTCATTCATTACAGTCATTCACAAGTCCACTGCTGCACATACGCCTCCTCCAAGGAATGCCACAACGCATGGTCCTGAGCCATCTGAATCCATCGACTTCCTGCTTTTCCATGATTTGCATCATAACTTTATTGAAAAGAAATGACCCCGAGTTCCAGGAGCTCCTTTAATGGGGCAGAGGTGCGAAGAATCTCCGAGAGGAAAACTGGTGACGAGTGGTGAAAAGTGGATTGCGTAAGCCAGTCTGGCTACGCTGAACATTTGTGGAGCAATGAATGATAAGATGGATGAAGCATGCGAGATGAAGCATGCGATATGATGAATGACAAAGGAATAGATATGTTATGTGTAAGTGAGACGAAACGGAAGGGAAGGGATTTCACTACTCATGGCATATATACCACGTACTGGTCTGACGTAGATGAGACCGAGCGGGCATGCCCGGGGGCTGGCATCATCCTTTTAGAAAGAATGAGTCAATGTGTGAAAGAGTATAAACATGTAAGCCCGAGACTGCTATGGATATGAATGAAAATGAGCTTAAAGAAGTTGTTTGTTCTAAGGGTCTACGACCCGCACATTTCTAAGCCCATTTATATTCGAGAGCAGTTTTGGGAGATGGTAAGGATGGTGTTAATGAAATATAAGGGAAATGAAAATATTGTTATGTTAGGAGATTTTAATGGATGTGTTGGGGTGAAGATGCTTAGTTATGAAAGGGTATTGGGAACGTTTTGTGATGGAAGTATAAATGAGAATAGTGAAAGCCTCCTCACCGTATGTGTGGAAAATAATCTTTTCTATGATTAACACTTTCTTTCGTCATAAGAAGATTTACATGTATACACGGGAAAGAGGTGATGATAGAACAATGATAGATTTCATAATTGTGGGTGAAAGAATGAGGAGCGCAGTGGTAGATAAGGGTTTACCGGGGGTCCAACGTAAGGACGGATCATTGCTTGGTTTTATGCCGAATTGATGGTCTTTTCAGGCGTTGGTGGCATCGGAAATCTGTGTCTACCACTGTATTACAGCGGCTTAGAACTGTGAGGTTACAAAATGATGGTATGAAAAGCAAGTACAAATGTAGACTCAAAGAAAATATAAATGGTTTGGATGAATTATGTATGAATGAGTTAGACTTGGAGAATCTGTGGCATAATGTTAAGAAAGGTTTGGTGGATGTAGCTACCGAAGTATGTGGTGTTAGTAAGAGAACGAAGGAAAGGAATAATTATACGTTATGGTGGGATGATGAAGTACGTATGGAAGGTGAAGCAAAAAAGACAGCATGGCTAGATTTGCTAGCAACCAAGGCTGGTAATTCTGGCGGTACGAATGGTGATATTGAAAGAAAAAAAGGCAGTCTTTAGGCGTCTAAATAAGAGAGTAAAAGAAGTAGTTTAAAAAAACGCTATAAACTGATATGAATGATAGAAGAATATCGGATAACATCCAGGCAAATATTGAAATGTTCTGGAAACTCGTAAGAACTGCCAGGGGAAATTCAAAACAGCCTAGATTGAATGCTATACGAGACGAGAATGGCCGTATTCTGAATGATGAAATTGTGAGTTTAAAGAGATGGAGGGAATATTTTGAAAGTGGGTTTATGAGAATGAAGACGTGTGAATTAAATGAAATGGAAACTCCGAAAGAAGAGGAAAGAGAGTTTCACTCGAAATGCTAAGAGCTGAAGAGGAAGTGGTAGCAACATATAAAGGAAAACGGTCGCAGCAGGACTGTAAAACTACCTTGGTATCAGCCTTCTTAGTATTGTGGGAAAACTGTATGGTAAGATACTAATTGAAAGAGTTATGAAAGAATCTGACGGAAAAATTTGTGATGTGCAAGCGAGATTTAGAAAAGAAATGGGATCAAGTATTTTCCATGCGCATGATCGCGGAGAAGTTTTTGGCCAAAAACCTAAAAGTTTTTGTGCGTTCAAGGACTTGGAAAAGGCTTATGAAAGACCGGACAGGGATTTGTTATGGCAAACACCGAACTCATTTGGGTTGAGCGCTGGGTTGATACAGGCATTAAAGTCTCTTTATAGGGACTCCAATGATTGTGTTAAGATCAACGGGGGCTACTCAGGCTGGTTTGGCATCCATAAAGATGTCAGACAGGGCTGTGTGGCTTCTCCTGGCTGTTCAACTTTTTATGGACAGTTTTTTGGAAAATTTTAAAACTGAAGAATGCGGGTTAAGAATGAGTGAGGTAAACGTCAAATACCTTTTGTGCTCTAGTGTACATAACAAGGGAAGAAAGGATGCGTTCACTTTCATGTAAGACGAAAGTTATGATTTTTGAAGGAGAAAAAAGTAAAACAATATGAGAAAGAAGAATAGAAGGAGGGTTGGTCGAGCAAGTAGATGAGTTTGTGTACTTGTATTTGGGATACGTATTTAGCAGGGATGGGAGATATGATAATGATATAGAACGACGAGCGAACGCAGGAAATAGAGTGAATGGGGTTCTACACTTTATTGTGGAAAGTCAGAATGTGTCAAAAAAGGCACGTATGGCAATTCACAATGCTGTGTTAGTCCCTACTTTATCGCACTTTAACGTATTGCAGTGAAAGTTGGGTATGGCAGAAGAAGTACGAGAGTAGAATAAACGTAGTAAAAATGCGGTAGTTAAGGAGTATGTGAAAAATTGTGTAATGAGAGAAGAGTGGTGTTTACAGGGTTAAAGAATGCTTCAGTAGTAGAATTAGAAAAAATGAAAAGAGTGACAAAGTATGTTGCAAAGTGAAAGGAGAGTCGGGGATCCTAGTTGTTGACCAAATTGGCAATCTATTTAAAAAGGGCGAAATTAAGAGTACCCTTAACTGATGTATGTAACTTTATTTCTCGTAAAAGCACACATAAAAATTATGTTTCTCAAAAAGTACACATTTAAACACATCATAAAAACAATAAAACATTTATATTACAAAATGCATCAATAAAATATAAGAACTTTTTACAAACAATTTCGTACGGTCGTAGACCTTAAAAACTCTAAATACAACTTTTATAATATCTTAAAACACTAAATTCAGTTTTCACAATACAGTTTCCATCAACACTTTCACCTATCTTAAACAATGCGACAGTTTAATACGAGATATAAAATTTAAACAGATCTTTAAGCAAAACTTTAAGCAAAATAGCACCTTTAATGTCCCATTTAACATTTCCATTATCTCGAAATATTATCGTTAAAACAAAACCCTATTAACATTTCTATCATCTTGTTTTAATACAGAATCTAGCAAATACATTTACAAGGTGCTATTACATATTTTTTAGAAAACTTAAAAAAAAACTTAAAAAAACGAAAATATAATTCAATTAACATGCTAATATTTTTAGTATTTTCAACAAATGGTTCGTGTTTGCCCGTTTTTCTGTTAATACCCTTTACAAGGTGTCGCACCTATCCCTGCACGACCCTCTGAACTATATAGGAGGTTCATGCCATTCATTTCTAACATTTATACTTGTCCTTGTCTACACATATACACCTTTTCACTCTAGATTAAACTATCATTATCTAACACATTGGAATGCCTTATTTCGTACATAAGAAACATTGAAAGATTTAATGAAATATTTATCTCGCGTCGGCGATAATCTCCCCCCATGCGCTAGCTCTGTCAGTTGGGAGGCGTCGCGGGTACCAGGACTATCAGACGAGATGTAGGTCTCCTCAGAATACCAGCCTGTTTTCGTGATGACGTCCACAACTTTAGTGTGACCATCTTTTCCTGATATCGTCCGGTCAACTTTAGCCAAGTGTTGCGTGGTAACAATGATCTTTTATTAAAACGAGATCGCTTACTTTTAGTTCTATAAACCTACCATTATCGCCCGTCCGAGGTATTAATGTGGGATATACTCTTTCCGCCATCTAGACCAAAAATTATCAGCTAACTTCTGAGCCGATTTCCAGCTTGATTGACCAATTAAGTGTTTATCCATAAACAATCCAGGTGGACTATCTCTACATGAACGCCCGAGAAGAAAATGGTTAGGAGTCAAGTCTAGGACTATCCATATTTATCGAAACTAATGGTCGCAAATTGACCATATGCTCCGGTTTGCCCGTATTCAAGAACCACCCTTATTATATAGAGCAACGTATGCAAGAGTTCTCGCGAACATCTTTTTTTAATCGTTGCGACCAGCACGGTCTTAATTGAGCTTATCAATCTTTTCCAGGCTCCCCCACCATACGAGGCGCTCCAAGAGGTATAAATTTAAATTAAAAAAATATATTTCTTAAAAGACTCATTTTTCATACTATCTTAACACTCGACACAAGCTTATGTCGACTCTTTATTCGCAGCTTTAAAACGTTATCGCTATAAATGACGGAAGGTTTTCCTCTTCTAACGATAAATCGTCTTAACCCCATTGTCGTTGACGCTACTAATTGCAAATGTACCGCTATAGTAGTCAAACATGTGAACAGAACTCCCCATCGCTTCTCATGTCGCCTGCTTACGAATACACTCATGGGTGCATACATCATGCTTTTGGTTCACCTCATTCATCACCGTCAGGTGATAAGTGTGACCGAAATGGTAATAAACTCCAATAAAATCATCATTTTCACTATGCCGTTTTTACCGTCCAAAATGACAGGCTTTCGACTTTCTCTCCTCCAATGCTCCAATGCTAATTTACTTATATGTACATTCTTTTTAATATTCCTTCCCGTCTATAAACAGCTTATTTCCGAGTGGAAACATTCGTCTTGAACAAACTTCTTCCATATAAGAAATTCAGCCTTTTTTAAAAGCGATGTTTTGTAATACGTCGTCGGGTTCTTTAACCGACGTGGCTAAAACAT